TCCCGGAGCGGTGATTTGTGAATTATTTACTAGAATGGCTGGATGGTGCAGAAGTGGAAACGGCGCTGGATGGAATGGGAGGAGGAGTTTGGCATTGCCTTGGGGAAGCTGGAGCTGTCTGGCATAAAGGTGGTCCTTGTTCTCCGGACGCAGTTTTGGAGAGCGTTCTGCTTTGGAAAGGAGCAACAAGAGGTGTCTTGTTCTTTCGGGTGCAGATAGCCGAGAGGCCATCACTGCTTTGTGGTGCCATTAGCTTCCACCCAGCCCTTCTCAACAGAGAAAGATTTTCTCTGTTCCTGGGGAGGCTGGAGGCGGGACGGATGACATGAAACAAGAGCGCTCCAGACGTATCCCAGCCCGGAAACATTTGCAGTTTTAGGTTTGCTTTCAAAGTTTAGAATAACCCTGAAAGAAGCTATAGATCATTAATGATTTCTATTAAAGATCTCATTATAAAGTAAGCAGATGATTCAGACTTGTTTGGAAGTGCCTTTTTATCGGGGAAAAACTGCAGTACATTTTTTAGTTGTCTGGGCTTTTTATGAAAAGGCATTTTGTTCTGCAGATTTATTACTGATTTGCTCTACCCTGTTTGTAACATAAATAGCAGTCTAGCAGATTGTCTTTTAGAGGAAAAGATTCCGAAAAGAATTACTGCATAAAAATAGGTATTTCAAAGAGAGCATTATCCTGTATACAAATGGTACAGAGAAATGTAACTGTCTCGTAACTTCGAGAAGAATGGGAAGGGAACCTGCACTCGGAAGGCCAAGCTGGATGCTTTAGCGTGCTTCCTGATGGGTTTTGCAGGTATAAAACTTAAATGTTTCCGCTGAAGCAAAGATTTCAAGCACAGTTCGATTGTGCTTTGTGGCTTCATGGGGCCTGTGGTTCCCAAGCACCCGCGGTGGGTCAGGCACTTGATCTTGCCCCGTGAGTAAGGCACAAACCAGCTGGTACCTGGGGACTGTGACACTGTATGTGCCCAGCCTGGCGTTACCCCGTTTGTCTCGGAGTTGTCTGAAAGGAAGTGTAGTTTTCTTGTTAAGAATGCTTACAGGGAAAGAAAATATGTCTTAAGTAACATGTATTTCTTAAAAAAACAACGCCAAAGCCACAAAGTTTATTACAAAAAATACACCAAATTGTAAGGAGGCGTTCTTATTTTGGCTGAAACACAACGAGCTTCGTACCACCTACGTTCAGTGACTGAAATGTCAAAGTAGCACCACGTGTTGTGGTTTTGTCCACCTGCACGAGATCAGCAGGTACCAGATGTTGGTAGGACATGTGCAGTGTGAGGAACAGTGTGTGTTGGGATTTAAAAAGAATAATGACAGTTTGTGATTAAATGCCAAAAAACCAGGTTTTATTTAAAACTGAAGTTACCCTAAGATAGCAACAACCCTTTTTTTTTGTTTTAGAGGGGGAATAGGAAAATTTAGCCCTGCAGCTCCCTTGTGTTACTCTGATCTGCACTGATAGCAAAGCCCTTCAACAAACAGGAGATTTCACTGAAGTGTTTGTTTGGGGAATCAAGTTCAAGTGTTGATTTGCCAAAATTCAGAGTTACAGTGATTAAGTCGTTCTAGTTCAGCCATTAACAGGGGTGATTCAGGATTAGCTTTCCTTTTCCTTCGCTGTCTGACATCGCTTTAGCCTCTTCCACTCCCTCCCAAAACACCAGTTACTGAAAGCAGTTTGCACTTCTGTGATTTCTGTGTAACACTTACTTGGTTAGAAGCGAGACGGTTCTGCTCTCCCCAGAAATACTGACACGTGTGTAATCTGACGTGGACTGTGTTTTTCCTAGCGTTGTACAAGGTGAGATTCAAACCCCTAATTTAGGCCTTTGTTGTCTCCTTGCTTATCTGTGCTGGCTCTCAGATTTCCCAAACTGACACATTTGGAAACAAATATTTCCTTCCCAGGGCACAGGGAGACTTTGGTTTCTTCCCCCCCGGCTTTTTGTTCTAAGTAAGTGTACATCGCAGATAGTTCTTACTGACAGGAAACCTGCTGGTATTGTATATTAAAACTGCTGTATTGCAATTACCACGTTTTGTGTGTTAAATGGATTTTTTATAATAAAATTACTAATAAGTATTAGTCACAGACACTAGAGGAGAAGTTTACCTGCATTACTTAAAACTAAAGTAAAGGTATATAAGACATCATGCCAGTAGGTGTCATGTTTACAGGTTTTTTTTTTTTCTAACCCAACCTAGTTAAAGTAGTTTTAAATATATTTGTTTGAGTAGTACTAGAAGTAGCATCACACATCCTGGCTTTATTTTGAGAGGAGGAGGAGAAAAGAGGTGGTGGTGTGTGGTGTTCACCCCAGAAGAAAGGAAAAGTGTGAATACAGCCTGGAGGGAGGGAGGGAGGGAGCAGTCCGGGCCGTTACAGGAGCACGCCGTGGGGACCTGAGCCTTGCCTTTGCTGTCCGCAGGAGCGACAGAGCTCGCTGGATCACGGCGCTCAGGCAGGACAGCGACGGGCAGGACACGGACAGGACAAGTGAGTTCCGACAGCCGCGGCGTGCAGACGTGCTGCCCCCGAGCGGGGACGCGCGCGAGGGTGGGCCTACGGACCCGTAGGGCTGGTGTCCGGTTCTTCTGCCGGGCTCTGCTGCTGTCGTACCGGTGACGGTGCCATCTCCTCTGCGCCCAGGGGCTTCTCCGGGGCGTGTGGCTGGCCCGGCCATTCCGTTGGGCCGTTAACGCTGGTTGGGCTGGTTGCCTCAATGGTAGCAGCAGTGCCATGCCCTGCCCTTCCAGGTTTACCCCACGTTGTTTGTGTGGGATTGCTCAGGTAGGAAGCCGATTGCGTAATCTGCGGCCTCCTGTGAGGTTTTTTTGGGGGAAGTATACTCTCAAATGGAAATTTCTAAAACAAATTGTATATAGATTTTAATAGAAGATCCTCTGCTATGTGAGTTGTTTTAACACAGCCTGGCTTATTTCTTCCACAGCTTTGACTCAGGTAGAGATCATCAGAACTTACACGGCAAAGCAGTCGGATGAACTCTCTCTTCAAGTCGCTGATGTTGTTTTGGTGTATCAGAAAGTAAATGACGGTGAGTGAGAATGTTGCTGTCAGTCACCACTGCAGCGGAATCCAGCCAGAAAAATGTGTTTCCCAATAGCACTGGCTGTACAATGAATCTGGGTTTAGCTTCCGAGAGCAAGGTGAGCATTCTGGGTCAGGTTTCTACAGGGCAGCCTCTGTTCAGGCAGCAGATGCCCAAAGTAACTCGTCACCTGCCATAACTTCCATCAGTAGCTGCACAAAGTGTGTCCTGGGTGGGTCTGGCAGGTAACGTCCACAACAAAGAAACTGAATTCTGCCTAAAACCATGGGACTCGGGCCTTTTAGTGAGCAAGCACTGGGTTCATGCAAGAGAAACACACCCGGTGCTAGGTGTGTCGTAGGCTATTTCAAACTATATTTCAATTACAATACAAAAAATGATTACACTTGTTTTGTATTTTTATTTTTATACACTACTTTGTTCTTTAATCCAGCTGTATAGAAAAAACATGTCAAGCCTCTCTTAACTTGGTACTTCATTTGCTGCCAAGGTGCATGTGTGCTGTGTGGGGTGACTGTGTCAGCTGCGTCTAGTCAGGTGCAATGCACACGCGTGTTGAAGAGCTCAGTACCTTCAGGAGGACTTGAAAAGGTTTGTTCTCCTCTTCTGTTCCCCTTGCAGGTTGGTATGAAGGGGAACGCCTGCGGGATGGTGAAAGAGGCTGGTTTCCCATGGAGTGTGCTAAAGAAATCACGTGTCGTGCCACGATTGACAAGAACATGGAGCGGATGGGACGCTTGCTCGGCCTGGAAACCAACGTGTAGGCTGTTCCCGCTGCTCCAAACTCTGCCCCAGGATTTGCACTAACTGCCGTCGGCAGGGGCACGGTTGCATGCCCTGCGGCTCTCGCAGGGAAGATGTGGGTCACCAATGCAAAAAACCCAGCTAACAGAGCACTGATGCTTCGGATACTCCCCCCTCTTTGTTCTGTGAGCTCTGAACCGAAACCTGGCTCGACCGGGAGCAGATTCCAGCTAGCAGGGTTCCTCAGGCACGGGAGAGCAGCCATGCGTCTTTTTGACTCACATTTCGGTTTCAACTTTAGTTCCTCCGTCCCAGCCTCCTTAAGTGTTCTTTCTCCATCTGGTTTGGAGCATTTTGACTTCCTTTCAGATGCAGACCTCTGCGTAGGAGACTGAAGACCAGAACCCAATCCATTGAGCTGGAGGTGAATGGCAATATTAGGGTTTCCTGCCCCTAAGGAGCTGCAGCATTACATTCCCAGTACCTGAGTATGTTAATGGGATATGTCCCAGTTGTGTCAAAATCTGTGTGTAACCAGCACTAGAACCACCAACCCTGTAATTCACAAAGGAGCACCTCTCCAGCACATGTCCACAGGGGCTCCCAGGCTTTGGCAGAAGCAATCAGATCGCTGACCGACGTTAGGCAACCTGACACAAGCCCCAGGGAAGACTCCAGGGAAGCGCCTCCAGCAGTGGTGGGCTCTAACGCTGTGTCAGACTTTCTGCTTCCAGGGCTGCAGTGGGGAAAGCAGTTCTGGAAGAAAGAGGTACGAGACACTGCAAAAGAGATGATGATGATCTCGTTCTCAGATCTGTCTTAGTACAGGTATGTTAATGGTGTGTAACTGCTGGACGTGAGCCCATTCTGCATCTGGTTTTGCCAAGTGTTTACCTAGGTCTTCACATTAAGTTTGTGCTTTAGAGCAAGGGTTTTGATGAGGACTACAGAAACCATGAAGTACTTTGTTCAGGTTTGTTTTGGTAGCGCTGTGGTTTTGTTACTGTTTTAGTCTTTCTGCTCTTCTGTACTAGAGGAGATTGATTATTTCCTCCTCTGGAGGCAAAAAGTTCACCCGAACTTCAGTTTACCGACATCTTCAGCATTTGTTAGCATCACACTGAGTCCACAGGCAAAAAAAGAGGGAGAGGTAAGATCTGCAGAGGTTTGTTAAGGTGCCAGGTTCTCTCATCTCCCTTCTGTGTATAAATGGGCAAATGAGGAAACACGTGGAAGCAGACAGCTGAGCACCTTGATGAACTTGGGATCGCGTGGTCTTGGCCTTCCCCTGCTGCAGACTTGATGCCATTGGGTGCTTCAGGCAGGAGCTGGGGGGGCTGACGGTGACATGGAGTAGCAGTAGTACTCGGACCTTGATTTCAGCGGCGTTGGTGCTGCTTCACACGTGCTCTTCTCTGCTTCGGGGAAGATGCCTCACACTTGCACTACACACAACACCTGCAGGTTTAGCTTTGGAATTTCACAGCAAAAAACAACCACTTTATGTTGTGTGAACAAAACGCACTCAAAAATGAAGTAAATTTCAGTGCATCTTTTCTGTATATAGGTGTGACAGGTTGTATTATAAAAATCTTCACCTTTTTAAGGACCAGCTGATAACTCAGCAGGGTAGAATACACGTTCGATAAAAATGAGGGAAAATCTTCTCGTACCGAGGCTTTCTTCTTGTTGCATTCCCCATCTTTTTTAAAGGGGCTGTATGTTGTTTTACATACTGTATTATGTTGATTTGATTTGTGAATGAATGGGATGTTTATAAAGATGTATCTCTGTAACAATTGATAAACTACTCAGAAGGCAATAATTTTGTACAAAAATACTTACCCTGACAGTCTGACAGTGGTTATACAGCCTTGTAAATTAATTTATACGTGGACTGAAATTGTAAATTGAACAGACTTATTTAACATAGTAAAAATACTGCTAATATTTTAACAAATTCTATTGTACACAGGCAGATGTTTAACACATAACTGAATGTATAAAATCCAGACTTTAATTTTATTCAGATTTTTTTAATACATTGTATATATTTTTCATACCTAGTTTTTCCAAAAATGCTGTAATGTTTTTTTAAAGACATCTTTCATTTTTCCTATTGTGGGACACAGTTCTTCAGGAATTAAAGACTTTTATGATTTTATAGGACAACAATCAATAAAATGCTTTTAAATCCTTACTAAAAAAAGCTTCAGATTTTCTTTAAGAAATACTATTAAATGGCAAGTTCTTACCTTCATTCTTGTTACAGAAACTGCATCTGTTCTGTAACCTGGAGCACTGTAAATTTTCTGTTCTGTAGAGATAAACAGCACCACCGTGTGTGCTGCTTTGGCTGTCATAGATCCAGTTTACCAGTGTGGCCATGAACTTGGAGCACTGGTGTAAAACGCAGGCCCAGGAGGGCATCTCGTCTCAGACCGTATTAGGGGAGGGAGGCAGGAAAACAGTCAAGACCACAAGGCTCTTCAGCTGCCTTTGCTTTCTGGAGCACAGTGTAGGCCAGTGCCCGCACTCCAGGGCTGACCAAAAGTTAAAGCATGGTCCTGGGGGCATTGTCCAAAGCCTCCTAAGCACTACTGACAGGCGTGGGGCATTGACCACCTCTAGAATCACAGACCCACAGAACCATTAAGGTTGGAAAAGACCTCGAAGATCAGGTCCAACCGTCACCCCAACACCCTCATGCCCACTAAACCATGTCCCCAAGTGCCACATCAACACATTTTTTGAACACCTCCAGGGAAGGTGACTCCACCACTTCCCTGGGCAGCCTGTTCCAGTGCTTGACAGCTCTGTCAGTAAAGAAATTTTTCCTCATGTCCAAGCTAAACCTCCGCTGGTGCCACTTAATGCCATTTCCTCGTCGTGTTGCTTGTTACAGCGGAGAAGAGACCAACACGCGCGCACACGCACACGCGTCCAAGCTAAACCTCCCCTGGTGCCACTTGATGCCATTTCCTCGTCGTGTTGCTTGTTATGGGGGAGAAGAGACCAACACGCGCACGCACACGCACCCTCTAGGAAGCCTGTTCTGGTGCTTGACCACCCTCTTGGTAAAGAAATGCTTCCTCATGTCCAGTCTGAACCTCCCCTGAGGGACACAGCTTTGAACCATTCCCAGGTGTCCTGTCCCTGGGTCCCAGGGAGACAAGGCTCAGCACCTCCCTCTCCACATCCCCTCCTCAGGAAGCTGCCAAGAGCAATGAGGTCTCACCCCTCAGCCACCTTCTCTCCCACCAGGCAATCCCCGAGTCCTCAGGGGACATGCCCTCCTGCCCTTGGGCCAGCTTTCTCGCCCTCTCTGAGCCTCTAAACCTGGCTGTGGGAGCCAGTACATTTTGCACACCTGGCTGCTGGAAGTGACTCTGCAGAAAATAATTCAAAAGTAATCAAGAGAGAAGGATGACACAAGGCCCTAGTGTGAGCACTGGGGAAGCGGAAGCCTTGGCTCCAGGTCTTGTGCTAAAGCTGATTGCATTAGTTACTGTGAACCAGTTACAAGAGATGCTGGAAAACCGTACTGCAATTCTCTCCAGGGCACAACGTCCTTACCTGGGGGGTAGCATACAAAGGAAGCGCATTGCTTACACTAGAGCTGACAGCTTGGGGCAGGGGGAGCCTCTGGCCTGGCCTCACAGTCATCTGGAACCTTCTCGGGAGCAGTGACCAACTCTCCCTTAGCCTGGCAGCTGTTACAGCCTTGCTGGTGCAGGTGCAGCACCTACACATTCGGTCCTGTGTATGTTTGTCCCACCTGGTCATTTGCCCCCCACCTACACAATGCCTGAACAAAGGCTCAAAATAAAACAAAAATTAAAAAAAAAGAAAAGAAAAAGGGAAAAAAAAGGTAGCCTTTTGGCCAAATTTAGCACAGCATGACCAGCAATTTAGCTACAAGTTTGTATAAACAAGTTTCCAAAAAGCAAAGGATTGTGTTTGTTCAAAAAAAAAGAAAAAGTCATCTCTTAACTCTGACATGCTCCAAGACAAGCACTTCTGTTGCAAAGGGAACAATCCAAAAGTCTCAGTCATTACTTTCACTAACCAGTGTGCACCCACCTACACGCACACACACGCACGCTCTCGCTCTCTTTCTCTCCCACCCAAGGAGGAGGACATGACACTGGCATCTCCTTTTAAACAAACAGCCCAGCAGTGATGGAATACCACTAGGAGTGTGTTACTGCAAAATCAATTTTCATTTCTGCAGGGCCTGGAATTTGTGCCCCTTCCTTACGTGACTTCTCTCATCAGGTTTTCAGCAAGTTCACCAAAAATAAAAGGCTCTCCGTTCCCCATATCAGTTTCATTTTACACAACGCCATTGAATCACTGAATCCACGTTACACAGGGGGGCAGAAACCACAGCCATCAGGCACCTGTGCGGACACGAACGAAACCCGAGGTTTACCCTCGCCCCCGCTGAAGCCAAGGCCGTACTGAACGCCGGCACTGCCGGAGGAAGGGACCCCTCCGTCCTGCCCGGGATCTGCGGGCTCCTGCCAGCCACCGACACCCCTCAGCAAACCCCTGCCCACCTGCCTTCAACCTGTCTCAGCCTTTCCAAATACTCGTATGACACAGCGAAAGAACAGTTACTCTTTTCTGCTTCATTACGTCATCCCTGCAACATAACAAATAGAACATTATCTGCTGAACTTTTGAAAAAATGCTGTAACACAGCATTCTTCCTGACTCATGTCAAGTAATACGTTTGTTCTCCAGTACACAAAGCTAATTTGCTGAAAATAAAGAGGTAAGAGTAGCACTTCAGTCAACCGACACAACCTCATGCAGCGTCCTATTTACACACACATACCTTAAGCCCTTTATCTACAGAATACAGTCACACAAACTCCCTTTTTTCCCCTGTATATCCTGTTTCTAAAGTAACTCAGTCAAAACAAGCAGACAGAACACAACTTCTGTCCTCTAGGAACAAACCTAGAGTAAATTTTGATGCCAGGATTGAGGAAAGCTGAGGAGGTCTTGTTTC